AGCATTAATCTATCAAATTTAATTCATATACTTATATATATATATATATATATATATATATATATATATATATATATATATATATATATATATATTCGAATCTTCTGGCACGTAAGTAAATTAGTTATTTATTTTTAGGTGGTGATTGCACAATATCGTCTACATCGTAAAAAGAAAGCTGGATGTTCCGGAAAATTCCATTAGTTGCCTCGAAAGTCTCAATTCGAAAAAAAATCTTTATAGAGCCCGAACTAGTTCTACTCCCACTGCGAGTACGAGCCAACACTTAGGCCAAGGAAAATTAAACTGATAAAATGCCTTGACATAAAATACAATAGTATAAACAGACTCACAAGTTTGCCAGAAATACTTTTCCCTAACACTTAACTATTACTCACCAAAAGCCTATCGCTATGTACGTAAAACTTTTGGAACATGTTTTCATGCACCACGGACATTGACTAAGTGGTACACTACTATCAATCGCCGACCAGGGCTTACTCAAGAAGCGCCGACGGCATTAAAATTGAGAGCGGAGAGTAACCCTGATAAAAAAATTATTGTTCTTGGTCATGGATGAAATAAAAATTAAGCAATTGACGGAATACCATGCTATCATCCAAAGGCATTATGTATATAGCCAAAATGTCTTTTAGAACTTGCATAGTACTCCGTCAATTGTTTTATTTTCATTTCATCTATCACTAATATACAATACAATTTCTTGTCAGGGTTGCTCTGTAGTCTAAGTTTTAAAACAGTTAACGATTTTTTTGTGTAGCCAGGTCGGCCATCAATTGTAAATTAGTTTAGCGAAACATCTTTCTGGGGAATACTTAGCCCTAGGTAGATGTCAAATTTTATTTTTATGCAGCTGTCTGTTTAAAGTTCGCTTTGTTCAACTGTTATATAGTGTAAAACTTTTTTTTCTAATTTATTAAATATTTTCCAGATAGTTCATTTAATAACTCCTCAAAATCAACAACTTTTTTTTAAATAGCGGTTTTGTGATTGAAGCCCTATCATAAAAACAAAAACTTGGTTAACAGCATCTAAGACGATAAATTGATGGGACTTTTCTTTTCATAAATCTGATTTTTAAAATAAGTTAACTAAACCTCCTATTTCGATTTGTTAAATATTTTAAATTTTATCCTGTATAATGTAAAATAAATCAGTAGCAAAATAATAAACTTTCTTTCAATAATTTCTAAGTTTTTTCCGAAGATCATTTTTAAATATTTTAAAAAAATAATTTAAAATAACACCTTGGTATTATTTATCTATGTATTACTTTTAATCAAATAAACACTTATGCGGACTACAGTGATTTGTTTATCGATAAAAATATCGACATAGTCCACGCCTTACGTTGCTTACGCATTCAAACGGCGCCATCAGTGTATCGACACGTGTACAATTTGATGGTATGCGTAAACGCGATGAATACAAACACAAATACTGCAGTGTGCGTTTATAGTGACACGATTTAATTTTGCATTTGTTGTGTGTTTTTCTTGCGCTCCCCTGATGTTGACAGAATTTTTGTTTAGGAATTAACGCGCATGTCCTCTCAAGTTGGTTGAATACTCAAAGTTTTGAGCTTTATTGTACTACATTATAAAAAAAAACATTACGATATATCGATATTTATCACGTGAATATATCGATACTGTTTAAAATATCGATACGTTATATTCGATATTGTTTTTCACTTGCCTACCCCTAGTTGTCGCTATTGCGACATTAGTAGATAAACGGAATATTGCTAGCAGCTAGCTGGTAACGCGACGGGGCCCCACGCGCTGATCGCCCGCCCGCGTCTGCTTTTCTCCCTTAAAACATAAAAAGAAACGCCTCTGCACACCCTGGCTGATTGTGGACCCTTGCGAAAACGTAATCTGTGGAACTACTACATCTAGGAAACTAACTACTTCACCCAGACGAAGTGAAATTGCTCACAGCTAAGCAACTCCTATTAATTAAAGATATAGGGCTTAGCAGTGAACTATATCTACAGCAGCGATCACAATAGAGCTTTTAAGTCGCAGTGATACTGGTCTTTTTAGACCTGCATAGCTGCTCGCACAAAAAAGCTATGCAGTCTGAATCTATAAATTTCTAAAGGTGTCGTATTGTTGAAAATGTCAGAATTTGAAAGTAGACTTTTCATCTGCTCTAATAACAGATAGATCAATTTATCAGCCCAATCCCGAAGAAGAATTGTATACCAACTGATCCTAAAGAATTGTTTAAAATAAACGTTTTTTACCCTGTGATTGATACAATTAAATGTGCATTGGTTACTTGACTTAAACTATCAAAGTTCTATGATACGTGTTCATTTTTATACAAAATGAAAATAATTCCTGAAAGGTCAAAAAGCCTGTGTTGATTTGTAAATCAGTTGAACAGACGGGCACAATGTGATATGTCTAGTTGTAAATTGGTTCAGTAACTTTTGGGCTTGAACCCATTATTTAAAGATCTTCAATCAGCAGAGCCACATAAAGTTCTCAGACTTATTAAAAATAATGATTGGCTGGATATTTTTCTCAAATGTGTATACAGCTTCGTGTCTTGTTGATTGTACCTGTACTATAACTGTCGCTAAACGGAAACGAAGTTTTAGTACATTAAATCATTTAAAAATTTACCTACGTTTCTGCTATTTGTCAGGAAATACTGTCATATCTTGGAATCTTTTCCATAGAAAATTCTATTGCGCAGAAGTTAAATTATTCCGAATTAATAAAAAATTGCAAGCGGATATGCCAGAAAGCTGGCCATCTAGGTTTTTCATTAAGTTTGTTGTTAGTAGTCCTTATCTTTTTTAACACTGTCTGCAGAACGACAGTTTAAATAAAAGTTGTCAAACAAGATTATTAACCCTAATTATAATCTGTACAACTAGTCACCGCAGTGAGGCAAGCATAGTGGCGTTTTCCTGTATATACTTATTATACTCTTTGGTGGCGTTGTCGAGCGCAACAGAGTAGTGCGAGCGGAATGGACAACATTTTTTTTTAAACGCGAATAAGCAGAACAACTGCTATGGCAAGCAAGAGCGACAGACACAACTGAGCTTGTTCCGCATATACACCTGTAGATATTTGATAGATCATACCATTTAAAATCACAAAAAAGCAACTGCATAGTATAGGAACACCAAGGTTTTTTTATTTAGAGGGGCGCCACTATAAGATCTCGCATAACCTAAAAATTTTGCTAAGGTCGCACCTGTGTGAAGGTAACAGTAACAGCAATACGTAATTTGGTTTTTGATAAGGAAGGATAAACGGAATAACCCTGCTTGAATACGTATTTATTTTTAAGTGCACCTTTATTCTTTACCATTACCGTGACAGTCTGTTAAATTCCAATGCTTAACAAAGTACTCCCCCATAGATTGCCTCATAGGGGGATATTTGCCATAGCTGCCACTCTTTGCAAGCGGTTTACCACACTTGGCAAACGGTTTGCCACGCTGGGCAAGTGGTTTGCCAACCACAGTTTTTGTTTTAGTCGTTATTAGGAATACGCTGCTACCTATCTAATCATCTTTTTTTACAAATTCCAGGATCTGTTTTATAATTGTTTAAAACCTACTATTAAATCCTTAACAATTATTTTGTTATTTCCCAGCATGGTCACTTAGTGCTTACACACATACCCAGAACCCAAATAGCAGGTACTGACGTTATCAAGGAGAGGCCGCTAGTTTGAAGTACTTATGACATAGTATAAGAAACAAAGTCCCGAGATCCCGCAAAAAAAGATTAATATGTGTGTATGATTTTATTGCATCTTTATATAAAACAATTTCCAAATCATTTGACGATTACAAAAACTTAATACGACTTGCACAATTTGTTGAACGACAGCGACACATTTCTTGTAAAACTATTTAGAAAAACAGAAATTTCCTGCAAATGAAAGAAACGTTCATTATGAATTTAAAAGGATACTGGATAAACACAAATAACGGTTGTTAAATCAAAAGTAACTCCAAGAAAGCTCGACGCCGAGAAATACAAGTGAAGTTAGTGTGAGAAGTTTATTTACTACTCAAAAAGATACACATTTTATTGAGATAATTCTAAAATCCCCGTGCCGCCTCGCGGCCCAGCGCGGCGCATCATGACGCAGCGGTACTTCGTCGGTAGGCGCAGCGTGCAAGTGTGGTGCGCTGCCAGCGACTTCACGATGCGTTTCGCGACGTTGCGATACGTCTCTCGCTGCGCGGTGTGAAACCACTGGCCTCTTCAAGCAGCGACGCGTCGCGTCACGTCTCGGTGTGAACTGACCCTAAGTTGTCTTGTAGTTGTCACTATTGTCAAATTTATTTATTCTTGTGAATTCATTTTTCCTCCCTTACTAGCATTTTAAACAATTTTTTTAGAAGAGGGGACAAATGAGCCTTCGGCTCATCTGATGGTAAGTGTCGACCGCCGTCCACGAACAACTGCAATATGCAGGTGCGTTGTCAGCCTTTTAAAAAAGAGAAGGGTCTTTTCTTGAAGGTCCCTAAGTCGTACTGATCCGGAAAAATCACTGGTACTGGTGTAGACGATTCCACAAGGAAACCGAAGAAAACTTTTTGTAAATCGTACGGTGGTGGACCACCAATCATCCAGATGGTAAGGATGGTATCGCGAATTTTGTCACGATGTGCGATGGTGATATTGAGCAGCTGGAATTAGTCCGAACAATTTGGTCAATGGTCTTAAACTATTGCAGCGTTGAACAGAATGCGCTTACGGATTCGCTATGTAATAGATTGATAACCACGCTGGGTAAGCGGTTGGATGAGGAATAAGATAATAATGATTGCACTATCAAGTTCCGTCCCAGAATTGTTTAAGAGTGTCGTAGCAAGCGGCTGTGGTAAAGGCTAGAAAGATCTCGGCCTCCCAAAGATGGGGACCGACCGGCTCATATATCCAGTAGGTATATCATAAAATCTGGTACTTTTTGGAGAATGTCGATAGAGTCCCATGTCAACTACAACCATATTTATCATTATCCAGGACATACCTGTCTCGCCTGTTGCCACCAGCAGCCAGCTCATGTTCAAGCGCTGCAATCTTCTCTTCGTGACGCGTACGCTGTGCTTGAGCCCGTCTCTGTTGCTCTTCTAACGCCAACACGATTTTCTCTAGCCGATGAATTTGTTGCTGTTTGTTTTCTAATGTCGAAAATAACTCTTGAATTTCATCTGCTTTTGCAGCTATTTGCTTATTTACCTAAACGATGAAAAAGACAAAAGGAACGAAAATATTACGGAAAAATTCACGAGGCGTCTATTTAAAATAGTTTAAGAAATATTTATAATAATCAGTGAAAAATGCCGCTAACAGCAACAAAATCCATTAAATATAATATACAAATAACATTTATTTTATAGAGGCAAAATATTAACGGTGACTGCTGGTGATAGAATATATATCACCAGCACTCACCGTTAATACCATATTATCCCGTGGGTGTCGTAAAAGGTGACACAGGAAAATAAAAAATGACAAATCTGCAACATCTTGCTGATAACTGGTCAATACAAACTGTGCTTGCCAAGCGTGGCAAATATGGTAAATATTCCCCGTATGATGCAATCAATGGGTATGTTCAGCAGACTTGATAGGCCGTGATGGTAAATGATAACGGTAAAGGCGAAATGTTGCCACTTGGTAATTGGAGATAACAGAGCACCTCATCTGCAGAGGAGACATTTTACTAACAGATGAACAAAGTTCTGAAGACCAATTGATAAAGAAATGTCCATTTACAATAAAATATTCCTTAAATTTACAAGATTTGTGAAAAGGAGCAGCAGCGTATTGAGGAAACAGCTCTGTGCTTATTTATTTATTTAAACTTTTAAGCATAAAATATAATACCTTATATATGACGGACTTAATACCTTAAGGCATTCTCTCCCAGTCAACCGTTAGGATAAGCAGAGATAAACATATGGGAGGTAGTGCAGCAAAAATGAACTAATATTGAGAATTATCCCCATAAGCCTTTCCAAGCGTGATGGGTTTTGCTAAACTTTTAAACTATGCATGTGAAGTGGCACATTCTCACAGTTGCCAAAAGGTTATTGGATTAAAAACCGTTAATTTCAAATAATAATTTAAAATCACCAAGATAATTATATCGACATCACAGGTCAAAGTTCACTACCGCTGGTTTTAAATCTAAGTAGATATGGATTCGCTGGCATATATGTACGTACATAAATATAATATGAAATCTTAAATCCGCGCTTTGCCAGAAGTTCGATATTTTTCTCATTGAGATAACTTTTAGTTTATGAAGTTACGTGTTCAATTGGTTATGTTTTCTAGTTGATATGCAACTATACGCGTGAATATTTTGAATACAATGTGAAAAAACGCTATACAAAATTAAAGGCGCCTCCGTTCAAATTTATACACTAAAGCATTCATCCATTTCTTTTAAACAGGCTAAACATATTATCAAGTACTACCAGAGGTTAATTAAGAAAATATGTATTAAACAGTCTCGTTAATTTTCGTGTTGGGATAATTAACTGTTAGTGTAAATAATTTTGAAACTATATAAAAAAAAACTCTTATATCTCACTTCGTCTACTATTCTCATTCGTTGTTCAAGATCTTGCTGCAGCGTGGAGAGTTCTCGACTCTGCTCACTCTCCTTATTCTTTAGCATGTTGATCAATTCCTCACGAACCTGCATCACCCCATAGTTAAATTTATACATTAACACGATTTTACTAAAAAAAAAAAAAAAATAAAAACCACGTGTTTACTATTGTAAAATAAAAATGTACAACTAAAAAGTAAAATACATCCACAGCTGGGCACAGGGCTCGTCCGAATATTGAGCTTGTAATGGAGCGGTTAGACTGTCCCGCTGTTCCATTGCGTGTTGACAGACTTCACAAATAAGTTTCTTCACAATACTGCCCAGCATGCGTTTAATCAACACGTAAAATTGCAATTAATCAACACGTAATATTTTAGTGGTGCCGTCTGAGATGGAATGGAACTTATATCACCCGTGTGGACAAAGGGGAGTGCTCTGCCCCTGAGCCGGCTTTTTATGCACGTGTAATAAAAATTAATATTATTAATTAATCAGGAAGGACCTTGATGACCCTTGCCTGGGCACGTGATGTCTTGTCCTGTTGTTCCAGCTGCTGTTCTTTTTGCGTTAGCAGCTCCGACAACTCCTCATGTTTATGAACTGCTTCTAATAGTGCCATTCTCAATTGCATTATCTAGAATGTTTGACAAACATTATTAATAACTATTGTTTGTTATATGACAGACAGCTACTAGAAGTATATATAAATAACAAATATATATATATATATATATATATATATATATATACAATATGTAACATAATTAATGCACACCCTCAGACACCCTAATTAGTATATTATGTTATAATCATAATACATACACTGAATTTTTAGTTAAACATTTTTATACACAGATTATTTATCAAATTAGTTATACTAATTCCGGAAGAATGTTGTGGTCACAGTACGAATCCACGAACGCAAAGACTTAAAGTGCTTGAAAGAAAGTTAATTTTTCTTTATTTTTATTGAATGACTGAATTAGTTATAATACAAATAAAACTGAACTCTTAAGTCTTATTGCCTTAAGTTACGGTCCATTTCAGTTTGTTTTGACTGTACAGATTTAGTGTGGCTGTAATTTACGTAGTTTTGATTATTTTTGGGATAAAAAATTACCTATATTAAAAATGATAGGAACCGATTCAGTAAACGATTCTGAACAAACTACTTTCTCAAAGTGCGTTAATTACGTTACATATTATATATATATATATATATATATATATATATATATATATATATATATATATTTATATTTTTAGTTAATATATTAATTTTTCATCGTATACAACATGTTTTATAATTGCATGTGCATTAAATTGACATGTGTAAATAAAAGTAATGTATATTTTTGCATTTAGTGCTTCTATTTACATTTACACTATGACAACGTTATTATCATCATAATCATTACTGTTGTACCTTACAAGTAAGGATTTAGCTGTAACAATAGTAAAACGAATCCTGGAATTTGTAAAAGAATACGGAAAATGTTACTGCCCCTAAAGTGTCCCTCAGTGGTATCTCTAAAGCCCCATTTAAGCCCCATTTACATTCAGCCACTGCCACTGCTCCTCGCGCTGCCGGCAATACTTCCCCTAAATACTGCCGTAGCAGGATCGCGGGAAGTGTGTATTCACACTCTGCCCTACCACTCACATCGCTTTCGGCTTTCGACTATGGCGGACGTCGAAATAATTACAGCGTCCGCGCTGTGTCTTCTTGCAATACAAAATTATGTTAATAATTTAAAAAGATATCAAGTTCAAAAGAAGATAGATAGATAGATAGAAAATTTATTTGCTTAAAAACATGGTACATAAGATGATCAATGACGTGGAACTGACATGTTTTGCCATAATTGGCATGGAAAAATGATATGAAATACAGCTAATTACACAAACCCGATGTTGCTTAAAAGTTAGGTACACACATTCTTTTTGAATTCAAATATTATGTACAATTAAATACTTATACAGATCCACTCTATTTGAATTCTTATACAGTAAATTGTTCATAAATTATTAATTGAATTATTATATTATTGTTACATAAATAATATTAAATATTATATGAGATTAGTTAAGCTATTATTATTTTATTAATTACACTTCAGTATAAACTAATTCGTAATTTTAATTACAATAAAATTATAATTTAAAAATCTCAGGCTATTATGCAAATATTACCTTTTAACTTATTTTACATTTTAATTAATAAATAATCAATATGAGTTACTAATCGTTTTTAGAAATAAAATGTCAATGTTCATTAATTCCTTAAACTAAATTTTATATTAATATAATAAATTTGACGAATTTATAATTAATTATGTACATAGGTACTATGTTAACTCAAAAAAGAAAATTCGTATTCGTAGAAGATGATGAATTGTGGTTTTTATCGTTGAAATCCCATATAGTTTTTTCTGATTCCAGCAGTTCTAAAAACTTTATTGTATTTTCATTAATCCACTCGAAAGGCATTTTGGTAGATCGTATTTATTTAATAACAGGACGGCACGCACGTCCGTTCATCCAGGCGCTTGTCGCGAAGTGAGCGATGGAGCTGAATGTGAACACACACTGCCGCTCGCGCTGCCCGTCCTTTGACTTCCGCACGAAAAACCGACATTTCGGGCAGTGTCAGCGGCAGCGGCAGTGTCAGCGCGAGTAGCCCGTTTACATACTGCCCTGCTCACTGCCCTGCTCACTTCCCTGCCCAAACGGGCTGAATGTAAATGGGGCATAACACTTTGTGTCTTGTTACTTAGTAAAATAAGCTTTACAAATTATTTACTAAACATTTGTAATCACATTAACTTCATTTTAAAGCTACTTTTCGAGATATGTCTGACTGATTGTGTCAGCTGAGGAACCACACTTTAAGGGTATAAACTTTTTATAATATATTCTTTAAAATTCCAGGATTCGTTCTACAATTGCTTTAGACGTAGTACTAAATCCTTAGCAATTCATTTCGTGAATCCCCAGCTTGGTCTCTCAGTGCTCTTACACATGATTCCTCGGCCCATAAACGTATCGTACATTTTTTTTGAGGAAATAAGGTATCATATAATTTTCAAAGGTAAAGGAATAAAATACGACACGTGAAAATATACTATTATTTATTCGACGTGCCATTTTTCCACACTATCTTTACCTACATTCTATGTCTAAGTTAAGATAACACTCTTCCTTTCATCCCATCACCTAGTATTAATTAAAGAATAAACTTTATACATAGCGCTGAATTTACTGTGTAGTGACAGTGTAAGTCAAACGCTCCCGTGGGTGTCGAAAGAGGTGAAAGGGAAAAATCAGGAGGTGGACAGCAGCTTCTTCCGTATAACTACTAAAAATAAAAAATAAAAACTGTGCCAAACGTGGCAATAATGGCCTGAGATTGCCTTATATTGGCCATAATTGCCTATAAGGCAATCTAAGGCGAGACCGTGAAGAGATGAGATCCATAGCAGACATTACACTAATTTGAATTAAAGTACAAAATCATTACACTATTGTAAAGCGGATAAAACTGAAAAATTTTAAAAAATATTTCCTTTGGCATATAACTTATTCTTATAATAACTCGTTGTGTATCATTGACAACGTTAACTAATGTATCTATGATTATAATTCGTTCTATTAAAAAACATTAAAATAAAACCTTGAAAATCGTACATATTGGTAATAAAAAGTATTTCTACGTACTTCTTTGGTCTCACAGTATAAAGTATGTTTGCCCGAAATAGCGTACAATACTGTATTATAAATTACGGGTGGCAAACCTAGACGTTATGTGTAACGGCTAAGATGAAACTTCTTGTTACTAGGAAAGAAGCCTTCGCTTAGAGTATAAATAATCAAGCTACAGAGGCTCGCGTATCCCTCATTGAGCATTATGCCAAGCGTCAGCAGGTGTTCTATAAATACTGATATAAGGCTTAAGCGGTTTAATAGTGATCCGCCAAGATTGACGTCAACAATGCGTTATTGTACTTTTAATGTAGGTTTTAGTAGATCAATAAAAGACAGATACGAATTTATAAAACGATCTTTATTAATCGAACACAAAAATCTAATTAATTTTCTATCGCTTAAAAAGGGTAAACTATAAAATTATGACCTACATAATTCAATTCAATTTATTTGCTATTCTTATTGTACATTTGGTCTTATATTTAAAAAAAATGTTCAAAACAAGAACCCTGCAAGGGCACTGCAAATATAGGCAATTATTAATATTATTATTACATTCACATTATAGTATTATAAAATTATCATTTAATGAATATTTACAATTAACTTAAATATAAATTGGATCATATTATATTATTTATTTGTTTCAATTTCCTATTTCCTACTCAATCATTAAAAAACTCCTGCAACGAGTAATAACATTTTTTTCGTTAAATATGTATTAACTTCTTTTTTAATTTTTTTTATACTTTTAATGCTTCTGTTTTGTTCTGGAATTTTGTTATATATTTTTATTGACATGGCATAGGGACTGGTGTTTACGATTTGTAATTTTGATGTAACTGTGGATAATTTTATTTTTGTAATTGTAGTTTAATTTACTTGATCGCAATATAACGTACAAGATATTTCATTCTAATATCAATATATTTTTGAACAACATCCATTTTTCTTACAAAAATAACTGCCGAAGCTAGTTATTTCCTTAATCGATTATAAATAAGTGTAATCATATTTCAAGTTTAAGCTTTAGTATTGCACCTTAAACCAGCTTGCGTAGTCCACTCTAGTTTTACCAAGCACTAAAATGGATGAAACAAAACTCCTGATGTTGGACTTCCAGTTCGTCCTTTTTATTGCTACCACCCATTTATTTGCCAATTCTCGGCTTTTCGGAAATCTGAATTTATAAAAATATTTTAACCGTATTTACATTTATTTCGTACCTATTAAAAAAAATATTATTTTAGAAATTGATCAATATGGGTTAGGGAGTACAAATGATCATTACTTCAAATACTATAATTATACGAGAATTAATAAAAATTATTAGTAGCTACAACGAGGAGCGGGGCACGTGATCTACCGTCCCCGCCGCGCGCCTCCCGCTACATTTTGATGAAATTTCGTTAAAATTAGTGATTTCTTATCTAAATATTACGTACCTACCGATGAAAAGAAATATCATTGGTCTTCTTAGTTTGCTTCTATGAATCGTTTTTACAGCTTGACATTGCACATTTCACCATGGTAACTTAAAATTTAATAAATACCGTTGAAAGAAACATATAAACTCGCGTTACCTACTGTGACTAATAATGTTGCTCTTGCTATTTCAAGACTGTTCATACCTGTGCTTACTGTTCATACTCGCTAACTTGCGCTCTATAGCTTGCCTATAAATACTCTAATGGCCTCTTATTTTCAGTTAAATCGATCAGTTCAAGCGCATGTAAGCCAAAACGATTACCCCACTCACTGGTTTCAAATTTCAACTTAAGATTTCACGCTCACGGTGAGTATTTAGATGTACTTCAGTTCAACTGATCAGTTTAATTCAACTTACACCCTGAAAAATCCGTGATTTGCCGCTGTCAGTTAAAAAATTCAACTTAAAGTTTCATCTTTCGGTCAGTAGTGTGTACGTCAGTTCAGTTCATGAGTTTATCTGACCGCATGTGTGGAGTATAAGATTCTTCTCTTTTATACAAAACACGGATGCATATTGCTGCTATATTACGCTAGTATTCTGTGTAAATGCGGTTCTTTTCTGATCGAGCTACATCCATAATTTGCTGCAGTGTTGTTTGCACTTCTGATTCTATTCAACCGAATAATCATCGTTTCGAATAGTGCGCTTAGAAATAAATATTATTTTATAACGACAAAAACTTAATAAGAACTAATTAAATGCTGCAGTAGTCTAATCTTTTTGTAGACTTTTAAACTCATTTGTCATTTGAATGTTGTAAAAATGATGTAAGATTTTAAAGGTCTTATAGCAAATATCACAACTTACTTCTTGTTGTAAATCCTGATAGGTTGCCCCATTAGACGTTTCCTCTTGAGAATTACTTGAATATTGACTATACGCCTGCAAAGCTCTTATATATTTTTCATACTCAATTACTTTTTGTTCGCTAAAAAAAATTGAAAAAATATTTATATATTGCAAACATTTTGTTTGTAAATACATATTTACTTTACAAATTATCTAATGCGGATGATACTGCCATCGTCTCTGCTGAAAAAACTTCGGCAAAAGTTAAAAGGTCGACCGAAATAGGCCTGTCAATTATTGCAGATTGGTTCAATCATAACCTCCTCACACTAAATGCCTCCAAGTCCAATTACATATGCTTCACCAAGTACACACAAACTCAACCTCCATCCGAATTCCAAATAAAGATCTAATACTGTGTCAACCCCAAAATTTCTGATTACTGTAAAAAACTTGAAAGGTTACAGTATAATAAATACCTGGGTACCATGATTGATCAGCGCCTGTCATAGCACATGGCCACTAAACTGATAATGAAAAGGGTTAGGAGATTAATATGGACTTTTAAAACATTGCGACACGTTACTTCTAAGAATCTTTTGCAGAAAGTCTACGTATCATTGGTCCAATCAATCCTTACTTACTGTCTGCCATGCTGGGGTGGCACAACAAAAACTAAATTTTTAGAACTTGAGAGGGCGCAACGATCTCTGCTTAAAGTTATGCTTTTAAAGCCCTATAGATTTCCAACCAAAACCCTATACCTAACCTCTAACCTATTGTCCATAAGAAAACTCTACTTACTCTATATTATACTAATAAAACACAAATCCCTCCCCTATGATCCCAAAAAGCCGAGTATGGTTAGCAGAAGAGTTTACTTAGTCGCTCCAATTGTCCCAGTTAGATCTGTTTTTGCTAAAAGGCAGTATATACTAGGCAGTCTTCCCACTTATAAAACCAATTGAATAACCAGCTACACATCTATCCTCTAAAACTTCGAGACTGTAAATTAATGG